ACTGAGACAGATAGATAGATAGATAGATAGATAGATAGATAGATAATTTGTGTGATAGTGTTGTGTGTGTCACAGACTGCTGGCAAGGCAGGGTACATAACTGAGTTAAAACTTCTGAAAATTAGTTATCAATACATCGGTATTGTCCCTTGAGCCTATTTCCATCAGTGGCATTATTATTAGTTCTACTTTTTAAATTATCACTGAAATTGCTATTAAAATTAATATCATTTTGATTACTATATGAAAATCCAGACACTTTATTATAATCCTCATACTTATTTTTATCATGATTTATGTCAAGTCACTATTATTTTACCTTTGTTGTTGTTATCATTATTATCATTCTCTCTCTCTCTCTCTCTCTCTCTCTCATATACATACATATACACACACACGCACATGAACACACACACGCACACCCACTTACTCTCTCTCTCTCTCACACACACACACACACACACACACAGACACACACACACACACACACTACACACACAGGTACAAAGGTACAACACAGGTGCTAACATCCTCATAATGTCCACTCTTAATTCTTTCCGTGGTCGGCATGCACATAAACTCACAACCACACAGATCACGACTCACTAACCTATTTTTTTAAAATAAGTGTTTTACGGCACATGCAACACAATAAGGTCATATAAGTGCCGAAGATTAGAGGTGTTACAAGAGAGTAGCAAACACAAAAAAGAAGGAGGGGACAATAGATGTTTGATATGAAAGAAGAAGCAAACCACACCTGAGCACCTGTCAACCACCCACTCACTAACCTGTGCACATTCAGCTTGCACGTAGAGTCTGTAGAAAGACATACTGATGGGTCGCATGGTCTTGAGGCTGCAGAGAGAGAAAAAAAAGAGATATATAAAAGAAAACCATTGTAGCCCCATATTATATGATATTGGAGTTTGTTTCGTTTTAGTAAAGTTTTACGGCGCTCGCAACTCTGCATAAGGTCGTATGAGCGCCAAAGCGTGGATGTCAACAGAGAAGTCCAAACGTGGTATCAGGCTTACTCTGCTCACCCATCTAGCCTCAACAGCGCAAGGAGTTTGAAAAAAAAAAATAAAACAACAAAAAACCAAAAAAAACAAAACAAAAGAAAATCTCAACAATAAAAAAACAACAACCCA